ATTTTTTATCTCGAAAAAGATTTTTTTCAGATTAATTGAGATTACCGTGATTAGAAAGGCAAGAGCATCGAAATTCAAAATCTCCTTTTTTTTCTGAAAATTTTTGTACGAAAGTCGTAATAGTAGCGCCTTCATAATACAAGCCCTCCCTAAAAATTTTGAACACTTGGACAGTTTAGAAGCCCCGGAGGCTTCTACTACGGGGGGGATTTAGTTAATTTAATTATTATTCTGGAATTTGGCAGAATGTAGGATGCAGAATTAAGACTACCATGATCCGAAGAGAAAGGCGGAAAGTCATGCTAGTCAAGAACTCCTTAACAAATGAATTCGCTTGTTAATTGGCAGAGAAAGTACATCTATGTCTCATATTCAGCTCCGTTATTGACAGCCCTGTATCTCATAAAGTAGACGAATACCTCGAATATGAGCAAAAATAATTTGAGCAAAACGACTTTTAGCAAAAGAAAATGAGCAAAAAAATTTTGAGCAAATTTATTTTGAGCAAAAATTAGTTAAGCAAAATGACTTTGAGCAAATGGAAGATGAGCAAATCTGTTTTGAGCAACTAGAAAATGAACAAAATTGCTTTGAGCAAATATTTGTTTTGAGCAAAAATATGCGCAAAAAAGGAAAAAAACAGAAAGGGCAATTTTTATATTGTTCTGTATCATCCATTCTTTGGTTTACTCAGGGCGAATGATATAGCTAGCAAAAATTCCATTTCATTTAGTTGTTGTGCTTCATAATGATGTGTTAATGTTGTTATTCTTTTTTGAACAGCTGTTGTCTTCTGTCGAGGATTTTTCATTGGTGCACCAGCTAATAATTGTATTCTATCATGTCTAAATTTAAATTCTTCGTTTTTTAACACATCTGTAAAATGCCAAATATGAGGATGATGTTTTTGTACACGTTGACTAAATCGATTATGCCAACCTTCACATATATTATTTGTTCGATGTTCAAGTCCATACACATTCCATTTTTCCAAATCGATTGTATTTAACCAATAATTATCAAAATAATCATATAATGGTTGTAAGTTCTTCCGTATAGCTAATGGTGTTTCGTCTTGTAATTCATTAAATGTATTAACAACAACATTAATTGGTAAAAATGGTAATGCCATTATTCGACGACAATATGAACGAATTGTATCATTCGAATTATATGATGTTGATAGACCCAAATTTTGAATACGACGATAAACGGCTTGCTTAAAATGAAATAAACAACCATTGTGTTGTGCATTTGGAAACTAAAAAAGAAAATACTGTATAAAACAAGAAACATTATCTCTTTATATTAAGTTGGTCAATAAATGACAAAGACACTAACCTCAGCAACTATTGCTGCTTTTAAACCACTTTCAAAATCAGACATTATTCTGGTTGGATTAAATACTGTATTCAAACGAGTTGCATTATCTGTAATATATCGAAATAACTTTACATAGGTATTCCTTTTGCGACGTGGTAATAACGCAAATACACATGGAAATTGTCGACCAAATTCTATACCATGAATAACATACAACTGATCAAAAAATGGTGGACACGAATCAAATGTACCATCCATGAATATCTGCGTCGAATTGAATAATAATTGTAATTGTTCGTCTGTTGCAAATATCAATATACGTTCATTGCCTCTTGTTTTATCCACTAATAAGAATCGTCGATTGTCGTTGGTACTTGAATATGCTGGCGGTATTTGAAATTGAATCGATGTTGGTAGTACAGGTGTTGTTTTGAGACGAGATTTATGAAAACCCGATTCTATAATCAAAAAAGATCTTATGTCTTGATGTCCAATTAACAAAAATGTATATCTAAAATGGTTCTTACCAGCTTCTGAAAATGTTGGCATTATTGATGTTGCTGCTTGTGATAATTGTGCATTACTTACTTCATCTTCATAAATTCGAGCAATTGCTGTTGTTTCTTTTGTTACGCGCTCTTTTATTTTATTTGAAATTACACGAATTTCAGTTGCTTCTGGATTTGCCAAATGTTCTATATGAGAGCCAGTGGCTCGTATGAGAACATTGTTTGTATCAGTATGTAAATAAGATTTACAACCTTTAACATTACAGCGCCAATATAAAATATCATTACTTTGCTTAAACTTACGATATAGATGACTTTCATAAATGATTAAACTTTTGTTTTTCGTACTACGTATAACTTGAAGAGACATGATTTAAAAGTGAAGTGAAAGTGAATAAAAAATTGATCTTATTTATAGTTCGAACGAGCAACGCAGCGTCGTTATGGTGTTGTTCAACAATAAACTTTTAAATTGATTAAATTTCAACTCATTAATTATTTCATATCAACTCATTAATACTACTGGGAAGGTTGAGTCTCTGGTTTTGTTTCAGCATCGCTTTCTTCCTTAAAATAATATGTCCTCTTTCACTAAATGATGATGCGTCGAGCAATAATTATCAACTGCTGGGAAAAATCGCTACAGTTCTATTATAAAAATGATACACATAATTTGTTATTCACTTCTTTGCTCATCTTCCATTTGCTCAAAGTCATTTTGCTTAATTAATTTTTGCTCAAAATAAATTTGCTCAAAATTTTTTTGCTCATTTTCTTTTGCTAAAAGTCGTTTTGCTCAAATTATTTTTGCTCATATTCGAGGTTACCAAGTAGACTGTACCCTTTTCTAAAAAATGGCTCGGCGTATAGTATATCTTGTGTACTTCAAACTGACATAGAAAACGAAGAGATGTACATTCTAGTTAGTTTGATTTTAATCTGTTAAGTTCACAGAATATAGAGTAATTTTATAGTGAGTGCAGCGAACATCTGGATCAAAAGCAAAAACAATTTCAAACTTAGAAGCACTATCTATCGTATATCTCATATATCAACGTTATATCGTTCTTTTCTCTTCTCTTCTTCTATTTTAGGAAAAAAATCTCTGGTTCACTCTCTATCGTTTCTTACTTTTCTTTTTTCGTTTCTGTGAATAAATCTATCAAATATAGAAAGCGCTTAAAGCGATGAACAATTTGACGGCATCCCTAACGTTGTTACATTAGTTAGAGTACCCGATAAACTATATTTCACGTGATGTTGAGATTACTTCAAGCCAAGAGTTATCAGTCATAGGATTTTATTAAAAATTTGATGACACGCGTTTAAATATGGAATTGTACTTTGAAGAGATGTTTGAAACAAATATATCTAGAAATACGAACATTTTTGTTTTGTGTTTCTCTTTGCTGACATCATGCTTGTATGTCAATGAGAAATTGTGTACAAATGAGAAGAAACGGAAAAGAATTTCCTTGTTCTAGAGAACCCTCTGTCATAACCGGAGGATGTATATCATCGTATATGGAAAAAACAAGTTGTTTTCATCTAATTATATAGTGACATCACCTAACGTCTGTATAACCTTTGACAAATCGACTATCTTTTTCCATTATGGATTTATTCCCATCAGTTTATTATTATGTTGAGTTGACTATATACTATATATGCACTAGACACATATTCTTCTTTAATATTCAGTTAAAGAAGGAAAAATCTTTATCTATTTTATTTAAAAAATTTTGAAATGAACGTCCGTATTGTTATTATAATATTAGTATCCATGTTTTGTTTCAGCAATTGTGTCGATATGAATTGGTATCGAAGTGAAACATCGTCAAAAATTGTACCACCGTATAAAAACTCTTATACAATATTACAAGAAGATATATTAAATAAATTAGTAAATGTCAATATTGAAACATTACATAATAGTGTGATGAAGCTGGTACATTATTAGTAAAAAATATTCATTGTGCAGCGAAAACCATATCAAATAGTCTTGGTCAAGCAGTACGTGCTAGTGATCTGATTCTAGATGTTGTCGATGAAACATTAATGAATACGGAATCTGATATTAGTCATCAAGAAAGTATACAGAATACATCGTACACAAATGACTATTAATTGTGTAAATACTGCCATTCAAGACACACAAATACATCTGCATAGAGCAGAAACATCACTTCGTGAGAAAGAACATACGCTTGATCTTGCAAACGAACAATTAAAAAGTGCTCAAGAAGATGTTGAAGATGCTCAGTTATGTCGCGGTAAAAGATTTATCGGTAGCTGGTGGAGACAAAATATTGTTAAACCTGTAGAAAAAGCGGTTAAACAAGTGGTTGTAAAACCAATTTGTCGAGTGGTTAACTATCATGGTATTGAAAGTGCAAAAGATAAGCGTAGTTCAGCGTCCGATGCTGTTAATCTAGCTAGACAAGATGTTTTTCATTTGAAAAGTCAACTGAGTGACTTGACAATGAGTCGAGAAATGTATGTTAAAGAATTAGAAATGGAAAATAAACGGTTAGAAGTGTTGAACAATACGTTAACAGAAATGAAAGGAAGACAACTATTAGTATCATCAATAACAACTCAGTTAAAAGCAGCCAATCTTTATCTAACAAATTTTTACGGTACATCTGCAATCCTCTTGGATGAAATAAAACGTTTAGTTGATTTTGAACGATTAATTACGCCGTTGAATGCTGTATATACTGAAATGTTGAATAATCATGTGATGTCGACATTTCCCGGTGGACAAATATCTGTCGAAACAATTGAGCATGTAAAAATGAATTTAGACAAGTTAAAAGTTGTTTTACCAAATATGCCACCCATTGATCAGTATACTCAATGTTACTGATGTTTTGATATTTTCACATTTTATGTTTCTTTTTGTATTTCAATGTGTTTTTATCTTTATTTGAAAATAATAAACATGACTAAATGTACACTTCATTACTGAATCTATTTTTACTGCGACATTTTTAATTTCGTGTATCACTGTTTTTAGATTAATTTTTCTACTTGTAACTTAAAAACAAAAATGCTGCGTAAGTTGAAGTCTATCTTATTTTCTTGAAATTTACATTTCTATTGTTTTTCATACAGGTAATCAACGGCGGTGGCTTATTACTGTCGTTTATTTGTCCTATTTGAGTATCGTTGATCGATTTCAAGCACATTCACTAACAACAAATGTACCACCATCAAATTCACCTGCCGATTCATTTATGGACAAAATTGAGAATATCAATTTTTTATTCGTCGATGATGATAACAGCAGTAATAATGGTAGCAATCAAGTGATGATTATTAGAAATCGTCGAGATACACTATCTTTAAGTGAGTTATCAAGTCATATCCTCATGATTGATATTGATCCCTCGGTAAGTTTGTAGGTTTAACTGATTGGGCAAAAACAGATGATAAACAGTTAATTCATCAATCAGAAATCGATATGCCCTGGCAAAAATTTATTGTTAGTGGTCCCGTTGGTGTGAATTTATTAGGACAATTGATGGTATTATCAACTAAACTGGATTTTTCATTTCGAGATAGTGCACCGAATTATACGTATCGATATGTTCGACATCCCAATTCATTTCGAGCAACATTAGTTCAGATAGCAAATGGTAAAACGGAGTTTTCACACTATCGTTGGTTGAACGAAATTGTTTTCTTTTGTTCTAGATGGTTGGAAAGCATTTCTTCAGGCGCATACAAATATGAATAAAATTCAATTGTACATGCAACTGATACCTGGTCATGTAAATACATCCTTGAAGCTTCTTATGTTTCCGTCAACACGTTTACTCGAACGATTATTACCAAAAACACTGAATACAATTGAACATATTGGTAAAGCTTGTGTTCAATTGGCAATTGCAACAGAAGCAAAATTTAAAAATACCCTGGATTTATTGGGTGAAGTCATCGAATTAACAGAACGTTCAAGAGGTGTTAAAACACAAAAATTAAAACAAACTCAAATTGAATACAATTTGACATTAATCGAAAAAGAAGATGCGAATAAACTTGCAGAACAAATTCGTAAACGTTATAATGAAGCCAGAGAAACGGTCAAAATAGCGCAAGATGAATATCGTAAAGCGTTAAGAGAGATTCCAACAGGCATGATGGCATTTTTTAGAGATTTAGGTGGTGAAGTTGTCTACTTAGTTAATTCAATTGGTGACCTGATCAGTAGCAGTAATAAAAATAGACAAGGTGTTAGTTATAGCGCAACTCCGAGGGTTGAAAGTAGTCTGGCAACAAAACAAGCATTTATTATTGTTAAACCGTTTGCAGACAGTCTAGATAAGTTGATTCAGAAAGTAAACATAATATTTCAAAAACCTGCAGATAAAAAACAAAAAAGTATTTCAAAAAGCAGTAATAATAATAATACGTCAGATGAATTGAGTGTGTTTAAAATAGCGTTTAAAATGTTTTTCAATCGATTACAGAGTGGAAAAAGTAATGACATAAAAGTTAAAGCCATAAATATATTTAGAAATGTTATACAATTAACAGATGATATAATTAAGGAATGGAAAGCATTCACATTCGGAGAAAAAGTTGACCAAAACGTGATTAGTAAGATACAGAGTAGGTTAGATGAAGCGACGAAAGAATTGAGACCACTTGTAACAGCTAGTGAATTAAATAGTGACGGTGGAACATCAAGAAGACCTAATCACATTGATGTTGGCAGCGGCGTTAACTCAAATATAAATAATGAAAAAATAAAAGCGCAATTAGCACAAAATCGTCTATATCGGGCTGAACAACGTTATGACGCTATGTTCTTGCAATTGAAAGAACAAGAACAGGAAATGACAAAAATTATGATGAGAATTGCCTCACTAGATCTGACAATTGTCGATTATAAGCAAGTTCTTGAATTATTACGTGATGCTATGGGTCTATTAGCTAATATTAAAGAGCAATGTAAGTCACGCAATATCGAAAGTAGAATACAATGAATAATAATGTTGCTAAAATTTTCGCTTCTTTTCAGGGAGTAATATGGCACTATTTTTTGCTGGAATCTCGACTCGTGCTCAAATAGCATTAAATGGAACATTAGTGCCATTTCTCAACATTGCTCGTGACACACATTCAACTATACTTGAATATCGCGATTTTACTCGTGAAGAACGTGCATTTTGTATTGAACAATTGAAACAAGAAGCAATCGGTATTCTAAATGAAGCATCACTGTTATATATTATGTCAAAAACCTATGTTGATGTTTCAAGTCAACATTTAATGCAACGTCTTGCCGGTCTATCAAAATTATTGACAGCAAAAGATGATCATGAACGAAATCAATTAAATAATCAGTTGTCAATTGACACAAAGTTAACACAGCAGCATGTAACACACTTAGCTATTAAAAGACGACAAGCATATCATGATGCTGTTATTAAAAGGCAAACAGAATTAACACAAATCATTGACAGTCTTGGTGGATCATCGGAAACTGACATAAAAGTAATCAGTGATGGGGAAAAGATTCTTGATACTTTAGAAGTCAATGACGAAGTGCAACCAGATAGTGTTGATTTTAGCTTATAATAATAACTTTGTTGTTCATTTTCACTGATTAATCATATATAGCAGCTTCTATACTGTTCAACGTTTTTATAGCAAAGCTGCTTAAGTCTCAGTACATTATCAAAACACATTTTCGCATGTTTAATGTCTAGAATCCTCATACTCTAACAATGACCTAGTACGATATTTCTCGACAAAATAAATGTTGGTTAAGTGAGAGAAGCAGGGCCGCCGCGTATAGGTGTGCAGGTTGTTCATCGTACAAGGGCGGCTAATTAAAGGGGCGGCATTTTGACCGATTGCATGCACACTAATAATGCCGACTTGCGGTCCGTCATCCGCCTGCACACTGGCAAAAAACATGTGTCTTACTAGGAACTAGAAAAGAAACCAGTTTGAGGGTGGGGTGAGAGTTAGACCTGCACGTGTTATTTTGACGTTATTTCTTTAGCTACTTATACACAAGTAAAATGACAGAATCATACTTTGTCTCATCTACAGATGATATATATCGTACAATTTTTGTTTATATATATGCGCAAAACGTGATTTTAAAGCACTTCTTAATGTATCTTTTATCAAAATACTTCCAAGCGAGCCTGTGCCTGACCTTTAGCGGTGTTGTTTTATTACAAATAATGGTGAAGATGATATTAGACTATTTACAATTGTTTTTGAGTTTTGAGTTATATTAGGTGAAGGCGCTGTGGTCGTCGTTGAAAATAGAATTGAGTTTTTATAAGAGTTATTTGTGTTACAGATAGAATAAAATGAATAAAGTATCTTATTTGAGACTAATGTCCCTATTGACGGACATTTGTCTTTGTCACACCGCATCGAAAGGCGTATACTTCCTTTGTTTCTATTATTATTCCTGACGTTGATAAATTTAAATTGACTTACTCTCTAAATAGCTTAACTCGCAAATGTATCTCCTCCCTGGTTTCAACAGTAAACCCATATACCATTCGAACCGCCGTTTCACATTTCACTTTCTCAGATGAAATGTACTTTCATCTGAGAAAGTACATTTCTTCTGAATCAGAAGCGAAAAAAGCGGAATTCTGCCCGTAATTCTCTACTTTCTCCATCAGAACTCATTTTGTATGCAATAAAAATATCATATTCGGAGTTAGCATCGAAAGCTAAGTACTGTATAGTTGTGAAGAAATTTTGATTTTACCATAATAATGATAGTGTGACGGGGGGTGTTTCTCTGCGAGTATATTTGATTGTATACGTCCAATCTGAATCGTCCGAAAAAGTCGAAGGCACTGAATAAGATAAGTTTGATGAATTCTGGATAGATTGAGCCAATAAAATAGTAATAATTTAGTGGGCCGAATTCAAGCCTTATGCGGACTACTCCTTTGACTACTAAAAGTAA